CCTATAATAAACGAATGTTAGTAAATTTGGGTTCTAATGATCACCAATTGATAAGCGAGGAGGAGTTATTTTATCAGGTTTAAAAGTGCAGGGGCGTAGGGCGTGGTTCTCTTGTGGTTAACAACTGCGTGTACCCTTGGGCTATGTGCATAGCAAGAGCATAGCTGATATGCCTTCTGTTCACACAGGGAGCGCTTGTTTTTGGAGTGATTTTTGTATTGGATAGATGTTGCTCCGATCCGGTTTCAAAAGTGATACACTTTGAATACACTATGTGTTTGTGCTGATTAAAGTGCAATTTCAACAGGAAGATTCGGTATGTAGCCGTAAGTTTGTGGTTTAAGTAATATAAAGAGAACGAGTAGGTAACTATAGTATTAAAATTCAAAATGCTGGCTCATTCTCCGTTTCACGCCTTAAACACGGTCAAGGATATCCTTAACTACGGTCGCTTGAAATAGAGGATACTCTTAAATACGGTCCAGGATACTCATAGATATGGTCACTTGAAACAACGATACTCTTAAACACGGTCAAGGATACCCATAGATATGGTCACTTGAAAAAAGGATACTCTTAAATACGGTCCAGGATACCCATAAATACTGTCACTTGAAAAAAAGGATCCTCTTAAACACGGTCAAGGATACCCATAAATACGGTCACTTGAAAAAAGGATACTCTTAAATACGGTCAAGGATACCCATAGATATGGTCACTTGAAAAAAGGATACTCTTAAACACGGTCAAGGATACCCATAGATATGGTCACTTGAAAAAAAGGATACTCTTAAACACGGTCAAGGATACCCATAAATACGGTCACTTAAAAAAAGGGATACTCTTAAACACGGTCAAGGATACCCATACGTACGGCAACTTAAAAAAGAAAGGATGCTCCTAAACCATGTTCCCTCTATTAAGATTATTTCGGTTTTTTATATTAGGACATTTTTCATAATCGTTATTTAAAATGTCCTTTCACTGGATGTGAACTCCATGGGTACATGACTGTTACACATCCAGTGAAAGAACCTTTTACATATTACACCGTGAGTATATTGCATATCCAGTGAAAGGACACTTTGGATTGCATAAAAGCATAAAAAGGTACTTTCACTGGATGTGAAATAACGATAGTCTAATGGAGTTTGCATCCATTGCAAGGACCTTTTTCATACTCTAAAAGTTTCTTCCATTGCGTATTGGTTAGGCTACACATTATTCTATCATTTGAATGACTTAGGGGACGTTCACACTAGCTATTAGCTAGCAATCTGAAAGAAGACAAACGGGCCCAGTGTGAACGGTCTAAAGAAAAACGCGATCCGTCCGAAATTGATCTAAACTAAAACACCTTGAGAGGTGGTCTCGGATCAATCTAAAGATGCCCACATGTAAGTGTGAACGCTAATCTTGCTAACTGGCCAGACTAAAACAACTTAGTAAATTCTGCTACGCACATGCAAATCGTGAGCGCACGACTTTTCAATTGTTTCTTTTGAAAGAATGATGTAACAGTACGCATTTTGCGAGTGTCTATTTTAAATATGTTGACGTGAGTGCATGTCTATGGGCCCTTCCATCGACAATAGACACAAATATTCACTAGACAGTCAATTGATGTCAACTGTGAATCATATACAGACATAATAGACACATTAACATTAACATTAACATTAGTTTTTGATTTATTTAAAAAATGGACCATACTTCCAGACATCGAGTATTGAACCGTCGTATGGCAGCGCGAAGCATTTACGGCTACGCCGGCGATTTTGGCCCCGACACCGCTATCCGAAGAATTACAGCCTGATCAGGAAGCTCGGCCAAAGCCTAAGGGAGAGGTTAGTTGGCCCCTAGACCATAGATGATTAACCCCAAGCTATGACCAGCAAACTCAAAATTCTAGATTGTGACTATAATGGGTTTGAACGCATGCTCACTCTTTTCCATGTGGGATGCGTCATAAAAACTGTTCTTCACTATTGCATCTCACTAGCAGCTTTAACATACAGTGTACTCTGAACACTTAATGATGTCAAAACGTGGTGCAACGGTGAACGGCAAGAACGATTTGTCTTTATAACTAACCCTTCGTAAATGAGTCCTTTTTCAAGAAACACATCGGTAATTTGGAATGCGAAACTGGTCTATTGTGGCAAAAATTCATTGAGAAAATTTCATTTAAGAGTTATTAAAAAATATATACATATTAGAGGGGGATGTGCTTCTGTTATCAATTATTTATTTTTATATTATTATTTTTTAATTTGTTATTATTAACTCCAATGCCGTAACGTTTTTTATACCTAGCCAATAAAATAGTCGATATCGTGATGTCGTGACAAAAATCGCAAC